TGGGGCTGGGGGCGGGGAAGGGGTGGAGTTGGGCGGGGGCGGGGCCCCGTGGAATGTCCTCTTTTTGTTTTTTTAAAATATGGTAACCCTATTTGAAGTGGTTCTTATTTCATGGCTATGATGTAAGAGGAGAGTTTTATTGTCTCATTTTAGGTAATAGTCTGTTATACTCTGAAAAGTGACTAAATGTATTGTAGCAGCAAACTTGCCTGCTGCAGCTCATTCTGTACACAGGGTCATGGGATGGTGCCCCAGCTAGTGCCTAATCCTGCACTTCTGATGCAGGCAAATCTCCCATTGCTTCACTGATTGTCTTGTTCGGGAGAAGGATGTAGAACTGGGTCCCTTATTTACTGTTGAGCTGTTCAACAGCTGTCCCCAGTTAGTCAGGATTGTCCCACTTATCTGTCTAGGTACAAAATGGCCCCCAACACTGTAGTATCTGAAAGCCTCATAATCATTAACTAGTTTATCCTTGCAACACTCTTGTTTTTATATTTCAGACTGGGAGCTGAGGACCAGAGAGATCCCACAGGAATGGCAGAGCCAGGAATTGAACCCAAATCTAGTGCCTTAACTGTGCAATGATAATGCATTCTCCCAGACTCACTAAAGAACAAACTAAAAGTAGGCAAAGAAAACTGCTGTCAGTTGGCATAGGAAGGTAGCAGTATATGCTATTTATTCACTATAGGCCCAGTCCTGAAATCCTAACTGCAGCTGCACTGAAGGATTTTCCCAAGTAGGTCATGAGGAAAGACTTTGGGATTTGGATCTAAAAGAACAAGTGAAGAATAATACTTAAACTCAACAACAATAACAATATATTAACATTTTTAGACGACATGATTTCTGAATGTCTTTGAGAGAGATTACAAAGAGTACTTTTGCTGCACCAACTTTTCAGTCCGTGCATGCCTGATATGCGTTAGTATGGGTTATGAACTGTGTATAATCTTTCTCTAATTTTGTCCAGGCAAAGAAAAGAGCATTACACTTTTCCCAGTTTTAGGATCATATTATCAGAGATGACAAAGTCTCAAAAAAACCCACCTCCATCCCCCAGAACACCACCCCAACAAGGAACATATCAAATATTAAATCAGTATTAGCACTTACTCTGTGTATTAAATAAGCTGGCTTAATACAGCAAAACAACTTCTGTGAACATTTGCATTTTTAATTAATGTAGTTTTCTTTAATTTGATTGGATAGTGCAAAATGTATGTATAGGTATATGATGTATATGTTAGTGCTATTTGTATTGCTTTATTCTATTTAAAACAGAAGATTGTTAAACTTATCTTCTCAGATTGTGTCTCTTTTATATTAATGGAAAATTAGTAACAAATTTAGGTAACAAATTCATGTGCAGGAATGTCTTTTTTTAGAAATGATTAATTTTAAAAGAATAATGGAGATTATTCACAGAAAGCAAACTTCAAATTTTCTCTTCATAAAAACTTGCACCAGAAACCTGATTTTTCCCTCTCTGGAAGGGGCGTGGCCTCAACCAGAAAAGGGGGGGCCTTTAGAGCCTGGGGCCCTTTAAATCAAGATTTAAAGGGCCCTGGGCTCCAGCTGCAGTAGTGGCAGCTGGGAGCCCCGAGTCCTTTAAATCACTGCCGGAGCTCCCAGCATTTAAAGTGCCTGGAGCTCCAGCCGCCGCTACCACAGCTGGGCCCCAGGCCCTTTAAATCACCGCCAGAGCCCCAGGGTAGCAGCGGCGGCTGGGGGCTCTGGTGCTGATTTAAAGGGCCCGGGGTAGTAGCAGCAGCTGGAGCCCTGGGCCCTTTAAATTGCCACCAGAGCCCCGCTGCTGCTATTCCAGGGCTCCAGCAGTGGGGCTCGGGCGGCGATTTAAAGGGCCCAGAGCTCCAGCTTCTGCTGGGAGCCCCAGGCCCTTTAAATTGCACCCCTGGGGAAGCCAGTCTGGTACGGAGTACCGGTTCTTGCCAGTACACCATACCGGCCTACTTTCACCTCTGCACCCGGTCAAAAAGGGACCCATCCCAGCCTGGTGCAAATGAGGGAGAGTGGGTGAGAGAGAGCAACAGAGGGAGGGGGGATGGAGTGAGTGGGGTGGGGCCTAGGAGAAGGAGCGGGAAAGAGTGTTCGGTTTTGTGCGATTAGCAAATTTGCAACCCTTTAAGGTGCAAGTTAAGCATTCACTGGAAATGTGTTTAGAAGACTCTAAAACCTGTAGAAGCAACTGGAGCAGATTATTGAGGCCAAGGATTACCTGGTTTGATAACTAATCTGAAAACTGATTTTAGCAGCAAACAGTACAATGGGGAAAGGGATTTCCATGACTTAGAATTCCACAGAAAGACTTTCCATACCCACAACACAAAGACAGTGGTCCATAGGCTGCCAGCATAGCCTTTCAACATCCTCAGTGAGATGAGATTTCCATTGTCTGGATCTATGTGAAATGGATTTGCTGAGCCTTGGAATTACTTAAAAATCCTGCAGGATGTAGAGACACCTCATTTAGATTTTCTAAAACACTTGAACATGATCTTCATTGATACAGATCCAAGGAAATGAGCATCCAGTTACCTGAAGCACCTAGAAGGGGCTGGTGATTAAACAATCCCCAGATTGAGGATTTTCTGTATACAAAAGCAACCACAAACGTTTTTCCTTATTCCTGAAAAGTGTGGACAGAGCCTTTCAGGCCACAACTAGATTGTGTGTTTCTTCCTGCGTGAGCTTTTGATAAAGGAGAATCACAAACTGAATTTGTGGAAAAGAAAATCTGCTGGGATGAGTAAACAATATTTTGCCTTTATAATTTAGAAAGCAAAGTCCTGCTTAAGAGCTACTCTTGGGAGTTTAAAGATTTCATCTATAGTTTCATCAGCTCCTAAAACCCCCCAATATTTGTATATGGTACAATTTGGGGCTTAGGGCTCCCCAAATGGCCAGACTCCAGGCGCTCTTCTGTTTAGCAGGCAACTGTTTTAGGATTTGGGATTTAAAAAAAAAAGCTGGATCCGGCAAGTTCCAGGGGCTGGGTACATCTGTGTTGTGCAACGGCTCGGGTTTGCAACAGGAGCTGGAATTTTTCTTTAGACACTTAAATTTGTGAGGGGCAAGGAAGGGGGTAGATTTAACTACCGGGCTCCAGGTAGTAGAACCGTGTGCTATCAGCGCTATTGGACCGGCATTCACCAGCTCCACCTAGTGAGATGGTGCAGACAGTGTGGGGCTGAGTCATACCAGGAAATCTGGGGAACCAGGGCCAAAAGTGCGCTGGGGCTGGGGTTTTTACTGTACTCCTGTTCCAAGCTGTGCCGAGGCCCGGATTCATCCCCCCCCGGAGAAGCCAGGGGGCCTTGGGCTCTATGGGGATAGTGCAGCTCGGGGGCTGGGGACCAAAGATGCTCAGGATCCAGGTTTGACGATTTCCTTGGGGAGCGGGTCGGGGCTTCGCAGGCCTCTCACCTGAGCCCAGGAGCCGGAGCCGCCCAGGGACACCCACCCCCCGCCGCGCTCCCGGGGCCGGGCCTGGCGGAGCAGGTGGGAGGGAGGGAGAGCCCCGCCCCCGCCTTCCCACGGCGCCGCCCGGCACCTCCCGCCGGCCGCGACCAGAGCGCAGAGCCGCGGAGGAGCAGCGCCCCGCGGGTCTCTCCGTCGCGGATCGCGGGGAGGTCGCGGCGGCTGCGGTAGCGCCGGCAGGTCAGTGAGCCAGGCTGGGGCGCGTCCTTGGCCGCACCTGGGCGTGTGTGGTCCTGCTCCCGCCCCCCGCCTGCTGCCAGGGGGCTTGAGGGCAGAGTCCGACTCCCGCGCTCCCTGAGGGGGCACCTCGGTGCTGCTCGGCGCCGGGCTCCGCCTCCAGTCCTCAGCCCCGCTCCGTGCTCCACGCCGAACTTCCCCGGGCGGGCGCCACCTGCCCCCGGCGCGCAGGGGACTCCCTCGAGGGAAGGTTCACGCCTGGGGTTTGCTGCCACCCCGTCTCCCAAACGGGTGGGCTGGGAACTCGCTGCCTGGCCAAATGCAACTGGTCGGTGTTTCCGTGCAATGCAGCCTGGGAAGCGCTTGGAGATGTGGGGCTGGATTCCAGAAGTGGAAAGTGCACTGGGTAGCGCCCACCACCATCGCTTATCTGTATCTTAAACACCTGAGTGGCCAGGCCCTGCCTTCCGAACAGCCTATGTTCTTATACACCGCCCTGTTGGTAACAGATATTTAAATGGCATCTTTGGCATGAAAATGATACACACTAGGTGTGACTGCTGAGTGCACTCGGGACTTTTCTTGCAGTTTCTAGCTTCTAGGTGGATCTACTCACCCTTCTTGTTTGTCCAGCATTTTTTAATTATTAGCTGTAGTGGTTATTTAAATAATTATAACTCCCTTACATAAAGATATAAAACAGCAAGGACTTCAATGGGGCCAAGATTTTGTCCAAGGTGGTTCAGTCCAAAGCCAACACAAACTGAAAACCGGGATGGTGGATGGCCCGTAGCGTAGCTGTAAATAAGAGGGGAGAGGGTATAGCCCTTTGAGATGTAGTGTTTTTCAGCAAGCAAGAGGTACAGTGTGGCTGGTTACAATGTGGATTTCATGTTAGTTACAGATGTAGTTAGCATCAATCTTTTTTTAAAAAATCTCTTTGAATCAGAATAACTTGTAAGAACTTATAAAGTTCCCCCTTTTCCTGTAGTTCTTAGCATTTGAACAAGATTCCCAGGGTATCTGACATAATTATTCTTGAATAATGTTAAAAGTTATATTAAGTGCATATAAACAGAGACGTATGTGTGTAAAACTATTGTCCTTAGTGATTTAGAATTATCCATGTTAGCATAGCATATCAGGAGAGTATATAGCTAAAGGATAGCTGGAGGGTTTTTTATACTTCAAATGTTGCACATTCATGAGAGTGTGAGATTATGTCACAGGCTGTAGGGGGGTTCAAGGAAATGTGTGGTTGTGTAGTTACAGTTAAGAACATCAGGAATTCTAGGAATAGGAAAGAGGCATCCGGGCCAAGATGCCACTCCTTTTTTGGTTTGTTATTGAAGACTGAATAGTTCTGGTTAAGTATTTTAGGATAGTAACAAAATCTTGCTAAAATTAAAACAATTTTCTGTATGGAAGTAAAAAGGGTAGTTAATTCAAAAGAAGAAAGGAACTTCAGATATATGGTAGGCGGTGGTCATTTCTACATGGAATAATCATGGAGCAGTCTTTACTGAGGGTCTAACATTTCCAAATGCTTCCAGTGATATAGAAATATTACTTGAAATCATCTTCATCCATAAAATTGGTAAATATTACTGCATATGTCACGTGATGTTTTTATTTAACTATCTATTAATATAACTGATCTTTTAACATCTAAGATGGCATGTTTTACAGACGTGTGTGTCTTTGTGTGTGTATGTAGATGATATGAAAAATTAAATGAAACAGGCTCATAAATCAAAAATGGAAGTTTAACTTTTTCTGTTAAATCAGAGTCTTGTCTTTTTAGTTTTATATAATTTCTTAACTTGAATACAGTCATTGTTAAAACAAGGAAATGCAGCTAGGTTATTACTATTAATTTAACATTATAAACATACAGCATAAGTTGTCTTTGGGCAAGTTTTGCTTTGCCATAACAGTACATGTAATACCTAGCTGCTGAAATATTTCAAAGACTGACTACTGCTTCCCTACAACCTTCCAGGCATAGAAGTTCCTAAACTCAGTAGAACTTCTGTATGTGGTTCACTTGCACGGAAGGGCAAGCCACAGAGAAGCTATGCAGGGAGATTATGCAACTCTATTCTTTGATACCTCTCTGCGTTAGCTTGTGGGGGTGGAGGAGTTGTTGGGCATATGCCGGATGCTAGTGCAAGTCAAATACGTGGATTCACTGGCCTAAACATTGATGTGAATGGAGTGCACAATAAGCATGGATGCTGCTGCAGTCCATGGCCTTTAATATATTTTGCATGATCTTGGGTGAGGAGGGAAGAGTCTGTTCTCCCTCCTCCCCCGCCCCCATCCTTTACCAAGTTCCCCTGGACAAGACTCTTTTACTTAAGCTTTGCACACGGGTTCAGAATTCCTCCCTAGGAAAGAATTATTCTCATGTTTTGTTGTGCTGTTGGTTGTTTTGCCTTAGATAATGATGACAAATTAAATATGGATTTGGCCCCAATCCTGCAAGAAACTCTGTGTGGGTGGATCCTTATACCCACACAGAGCTCCTTACAGGAATGTGGCCTAAGATATTACGTGCAACCCATTGCCATGTTAATGCAACACTGTTATTGATTATATGCTGTTTATATTACCTACAGGCTCCAATCAAGATTGAGACCCCATTGTGTTAGGCACTGAACAAACTCCTATGAAAACATGGTCCCTGTCCCAAACACCTTGCAATCTGGGTATGAGACTGTAATTAAAAAAACAAATACAGTTAAAGCTATTGTGCTTTTTACTGTCTGTTTTTAATTATTTTGGAAGTACACAGATGTTATGATAGGGGCTGTATACATTTTTAGATCAATCGAAATTTGGGCCTTAATCTTGCAAGCTACTTCATGTAGGCAGATTCTTACTGACTTGAGTGGAACTGTGCACAGGTGCAAGGGTCTGCTTAGGCTAAATTCAGTACAGGGTCAGTACAATAGGGTTTTTCATTCTGTGATCACACAGTAGTGAAAAATGCAACATAATACTGAATTTGGCAAATAATATAGTCTAACAGCAAGGAACTCCATTTCTTTTTTTCTGTATTGCTTCTCCAATAAGAAAATGTAAATAAGCTGAATTTGTGTACTGATTTCTGAAACACGGGATGCACATATGGTATGTCTCATTGTCTGTTACTGCATATATATTGTATTGTCATATAATGAAAGACCCCTGCTGGAATGTATCCTGATTTAAAGTTACTGCTAACTTTGAATTTTCTCACTCTTCCGCTAAAAAGGCTATGTCTGTTATTACAATACTTATTCTTTTTTTAATTTAAGATCTGCAGTTCTTTTTAAAGATTAAAGAGAGACAATATAAATAACTTATTTCAATAAGCACTTAAAATCAGCATTTATCTGAATGTCTCATCCTAAAAAAGAAAAAAAATTCACCTCTGGGCTGGGACTAAGCATAAGAATTTCAGCCTGAAGGTAGATATTTTAGAAAGTCAAACTACTGAAAATAGGGGCTTAAACTGAAAAAATGATATCTTAACAATAACTATCTAATGAATAAGTGCATTCTAGCAAAAAACTCCAGAGCTTGATGATGGTTGTGTAGAACACAGAAAGATATTGATGTGGTTAAATACTGAATCCATTCCCGCATCAAACAGAATCAGGGATGTCTGCATTCAAAAGTAGTAGCACTACCTATCAAACTGCTTTGTATGCTGGTAGTAATCTGTTTGAGGCTTGAAAGTGAAATAATCTTGTCTACAAAAGATCTACATGTTTCATAGGCTCCTGTTTCTGTGGAGGTGTCTTCCCTGCAATTACTGACCAGGTCTACCTCTGCTTAGCTATTAAAACCAGATGAGAACAGGCATTAAAACTAGCAGAACCTTGCTTTTTCTCCCTCTAACTTCCATAATTTATTGTTTCTGGATGAACTTGAACATCTGCTCTATTATTATGTGAGCATGTTAGACCATTAGTTTTAAAATGTCATAAATCACTGCACAGGTGAAAAGTTAGGACATATTACTGCTGCAGGAAAATTATTTTCTTCTTGCACAACAGAGCTCACAAAGTCCAAGCTCTTTAGAGAGTATAACAACTGAATATGACTTGTCATTTTTCAGAGATCAGTTTTGAATTAATCACTATGTTCACATGGCTATTATAGCAACACCTGCATTACTCTGTCATTACCTGGTTCTTACATTATTGGAAAATCAAAGGATTATGTTATTTGTAAATTGCATTACTGTAAATTACTGTGAACATTTTCCTCTCTGGAAAAGTAAGGAAGTCAGAAGTGGAAAATGGTTATACAGTTCTGAAACTCAGCTGGTCCTGATGAAACCTAAACAGGGCTTCCTAGTTTTTCATCCACAGGTGGTATTTGGTCAGGATAGTCCAATGGCTGTCAGAGTTCATAACAGTGATGACTGAAGGTATAACCAGATCTGTACCTGAAAACATTCATAGTGCTTTGGTGAATGCTTAAATCGATGAGAAAAGTATGTCCTATATATGCTCATAGTTTTGCAAACGTTCATAACTTTAGGTTGTAACCAAGTGCCTTCAAATGGACTCATTCACTATTAGATACATGTCAGCTTGAAAACTTCAAAGCAGCCATTGGAAAACTATTATGTGAAACAACAAAAGAATTTTCATGTAATGTAGAAAACACTTTCCCCATGCTTTGATAACACAAAAAACAGTTGAATGTATTTTCTTCAAACTTTCCAAAAATATCCACCTCTGAGCTAGCACCAAACATGAGGAGCCTGATTCTCCATTGCATGGCACATTATGTTGTGCATTGCTGTAATATTTACCCAGAACATAGAATATCAGGGTTGGAAGGGACCTCAGGAGGTCTAGTCCAACCCGCTGCTCAAAGCAGACCCAATCCCCAGATAGATTTTTGCCCCAAATCCCTACATGGCTCCCTTCAAGGATTGAGCTCACAACCCTGGGTTTAGTAGGCCAAAATGCTCAACCCACTGAGCTATCCCTCCCCCTCTCTTAGCTCTGTGCACAGTGGATGTAAAATGCTTTCGGATCAGCATGGTAGCACTTTGTACCCTCTCTGCATAGGGGTAAGTGATGACATAAGGTGCAAGGCATGGAAAATCAACCCCAAGAAATTTGCAAGATACAATTCTCTGAAATTTATAAGGAAATATAATAGCATTTTCCATGATAAACTCCTAGCTCAGTGTTGACACTGACACTTTGAATGATCAAGAAAGCTGCCAATTGTGTCTGTTTTGCTACTTAAATATAATGAAATATGTATCATTTACATTCCTGGCAATTGCAAAGTCTTTCTGGTATGGTAAGTTAGGGAGAACTAGAATTACAATATATGCTTGGTTCCTATAGCTGTGTGAAAGCACACACTTCCTACTAGGTTAATACAATGAATTAATTTACTGAGATAGTATCTGCTTAAATAGATCTATTTCATAAATTATAAGCATGATGATATGACTGTTGAACCACTTGTTAACTGTATCACATTTTACCTTTGTTATAAAATCACAGACAGGACTGCAGCATATGGCACTAGATCATAATGTGTTTGGACCTTTGTTTCTTTGCTTACTCCCTTGTTAAAAGGCACTGAAGATATGTTGCCTTCTTTACTAGCACAGTATTATGCAATGAAAAGTGTATATACTCTCTGACACTCCTTGCAGTGTATAAAATAGTACTGGCTGCTGTTAGACTTTTTGCTCAAATCAGTTACACTTTTAAAATGCACTTGGGAAGACTGTTTTTCTTTTCTTCCCTGTATAAAATCTATGTGCCTGTTAAAGTCATCATGCAAATATACAAGAAATGGGCAAACCAATTACGATAAAATAGAGAATGGCCTAAACCTTTGTTAGGAACTCCGAGTAAAGCGAAACCAAACCTTGCTCTCAAGAAAGTTTTATGGTTCTAGCCAGGACTGGTAATGCTGAAATATCACAAGAGAGGCTACGCTGAAAAGTGTTTCTCCCCTGGAAGTAACTGCCATAAATCTCATGAAATTTTCAGCCCAATTTTGCTAACCCAAAGTTTGAATAGTTTTTATGAAATGCAATTGGATAAGCTTCCAAATATTTGGGTCAAGCCAAGCAACCAAATCTCCATAGGGTTACTTATCTCTGATCTTTTAAATAATAAAAAAAACCCCACCTAATGTGGTGGCAATATGCATACATTTATTAAATAATTTAGATTTTTATAGCACCTTTTATCTACAAGTATTAACACACTTGCCCTACTGTAATGAACACATATATTGGAATCATCACTTCTTCCATCACTGGACTGCAGCCACTTTTGGGGGTGGAATGTAGCAACTGTTAAACAGTGTTCAGCCCAACAGTTTAAGAAAGGAAGTGAAGAATATTATGTCCAGTTGACTCTGCAGTGGATGAATAGAATGTAATGACCTCTAATGGAATTTGCTCAGGAACCTAGGGCTAACGCCCATACTCTTGCAAATAGACATGAGGATGAAATCCTAGCCCCATTGAAACCAATGGCAAAACTCCCATTGATTTCAATGGGGTCTGGATTTCACCTAAGGCTTTAATGTCCACAAGTGGTCAGGCCCTCCATTGTA